ATATAGATAATATAAAATTTATAATTTAATATTTTAAATAATATAATTTATATTATATTATTAAATTTAAATTTAAATTTTAAAATTTTACTCTAATTTATTATTATTCATTTTAGAGAATAAAAAGGTTAAAAGTTAGGTAACACAAGACTCGTAAAAAATCTAAAAGGGGCCACGAGAGTAACCAAAACAGAGAAGGAAGGAGAATCTTCAGGGGAAGGCGCCTTCAACGAATAGAACATTCTTGTTATGATTTAATAGAATAATATTATAACTACATAAATTGTAAAATATTATTTTTAGAAATATTAAATTTATTTAATTTAATTTGTAAAAATATTTAATAATTATAATTATTAATAAATCATTAATAAAATAATTTTTATTTATTAATTAATAAATTAAAATAAATTAATAAATTAATATTTTTAAATACTATTTAAAAAATTAAACTTTTATAATTATAATTTTAATATTATACATAACAATAACCACACCCTCTAATAAATTTAATTAAATTATTATAGCACCAATCCCAGTATTTAGATGCACTTATTCAGTCGGATCTAATAATTAATTTGACAAACTGAAACCACATCAATCCTTTTACTCTAGTTTTAATCCAATGAAATGCCCTCAATTTTACAAACTCAAAATCTTTTCCTTCCTCATATTCAAGGGCTAAGAGGAAGGCAAATGAGATAACTCCAAGACACTCTTGTATATTGAGGAAATTTTGGGATAGAATGGAAAAGAAAAATAGTTTAGAGATCCCGTCATGTTTAAATCTTGGCACAAATAAAAAATGATATGAAAAAATAAAAAAAAATTGAAGAATTATTTTATATCATATATAACTCATTATTAAATATAATATAAAAAAAGATGTGTGTAAAATTTCATTGACATAAATTTTATTGACATTGATACGTGGCTCTAATTTTAAACCACTCTGAATCCTCCTTGCATAAGCTCCAATTTTAAAATATTTTATTTTAAAAAATATTAAAATATTTAATTATAATTATTAAATATATAAACTATAATATAAATTACAATATTATTAAATTTACTATTTATTATTAAATATAATAATATTTT